GCGCGGGAACTGTTTCTGCAGCTCGATCGGGGACTCGATGAAAGTCACACTCAATCCGGACTCGACATGTCAATCAGTATGGCAGTGAAACAAGTAGACTCCCGGTTTATCTGCGCGGAAGCGAAGCACGAGGGACCCGGAAGTTGGGACTTTAATTGTATCGCGGCGCATCAGTGTTTGTGGAAACTTGGAAGTATTCCCGTCCCAGGGCTGGACATCGTTCCGCGCCATGACTTGGAAATTGTGTCCGTACATGTGGAATGGATGACCGCCGTCGTCGAGGTTGATGACGACGACTTGGACGGCGTTTTGACCGGTGGTGAGGGCTGTGAAGAGAGTTGGGACTTTTTGGGTGATATAGGGAGGGCGGCACTGTATAAATGTTAGTAAGTGTCAAAAAAGAACAGTAGGATACTGTGGGACTTACCGAGGGCCGACGCTGTAGGATGTGAAGTTGACGCTGAGAGTGACCTCCTTAGTTGGCTTGCCTAGAGCCACCTGATGGTCGATAGGTACAAACCCAATGTCATCGAGACATTGGCAAAGCTCGTATCGCTAATGGGAGCTGGATTCGGGGCTGTCGGGTCATAGCAAAGGATTCATCGCTATTCATATTCAAGGTGCCCGGTATAAAGTCGAACATGTCAGGATCGAATAATACAACGAAGGCGTAATTCTTCTTCTTTGCATCCTTACGGCCTGTGATGGTAACGTCGTGCCGTTGCGCGGCAGAGATGTTGATTGTGTCTGCCGGAGCTGCTTTGACGGGGACGCCATCGACTGCAATAACCTGCAATTGATGGCCATCGAAACGGACAAAGTGGGATGCGAGAGCAGACATGCTGATGATGCGAACCAAATACCTCTTCCCTGGGAGTATCTTGAACCTCTCGGTCATCTTATCGTTGATCAGAGTCGCTTGTGGGATTGGTTCAGCGCCGTCGTGATCCGCTTCGTTCTGAGTGCTGAGATAGTAGTGCACCTGCCCGGGCATCTGCTCATGGTACCACTCGGAAACAGTCATCACGTATTGGTCTTCGATGTTGAGGCTCTGCTCCTAGCTTGGATCATGAATGACCATCGGTCCACGAAGTCCATCTGGGTATTGACCAGACGCATGGAAATGATACCAGAAGGAGCCAGCAGGGTTTGTAGTAAACTGATATGTAAAGGAACTGCCGGGTGGGATGCCACACTGTCACGTCACTCCGACAGGACCATCCATGTTGTTGGTGCCTTGAAACGGGTTGTCAGCAATTAACTTGGATCTGGTTAAAAGAGGCGGTCAATACATACCAGTCTGGAATTGGCCATGCCAATGGAGCCCCATTGTCTCACGTCCAAGTTTGTTGGTAGTGTGGACGACAATTGTGTTGCCAACGTTTGCTTCGACCTTTGGCAGCGGCCATTTCCCGTTGTTGCCGATAACATGCACCGCCTCAGCGTCCATCCATGACATTGAAGTGGGGAGGAGTCGTAATTGAACGCCCTTGTGTTCTTCTTTACCTACGGAATGTATGGTACTAGATACGAATTGCGGATTCAGCGTAGGACGGGAACGCATCTTGGCCGAACTCCGATTCGTGCTAGCCTCTGACAAAAATACACGATCTACGCGCGCCGCGACTTGCACCTCTGCACCTCTGCATCTCGACAATTATCATCGAGGCTGCACAACACCTTCTCAGTATCTCTACCTCTATCAATCCACTTTGGCAGGTGGGGTTTCGACACTTTCAAGACACTCTATCACCATGACCAAAGCTGCTGCAAGCCTACGCCCGACGGCGGCCGTACAGAAGCTTGTGAAACACAGCATGAGCAAACAGAAACTCACCATAATCCCTCGCAACAGCGTCCCCGACCCGCTTCGAGTTAACATGAAAGGCCTTTTCAACTGAAAGCGATGGGACGGGCGCATGTGGGAGACGGAGAGCCTCGAAATCTACAAGGCCATGAGTGATTTCGAGAAGCGGAAAAGGTCCGAGGATCTAGTACCTTGTGAAAATTTACCGAGAGAGACTTATCTAGCATCCTAATCATCTAGCTTACCAATTCTAGAGGGCGTATCACACTGCCGCCATCGAGGTGAACGGCACCATGACGGCCTTCTACCGGTCTCAATGTGACTTGACCGTTATTGGATTTCTATTGAAAACATCCCCGGCACATATCCGCAGCCAATTCTTCGTCATCCTCGACCAACTTATCGATATTAATTGGGAAATGCGAAGCCTTAGAAAAGAGGTCGAAAGATTACGATTCATCCTCTCGAACCGAACGTACAATCCCCTTCGCTTCCTGAGCCAAGCTCGAACTCACAGGATCAGGAAGGCCACAATGGATGCGCTTCATGCTAAAAATACGGCTTTGAAGATGATCAGGAAGACGATAAAGTTTGATTACCTGAGCAAGGGCCAATACGCGGCGGAATCAATCAATCTTTATGATTGTAAAGCGAACCTTGAACCGATCCAGGAATATCAGCAGACTATAGAGACCAGTGGCTTCTCCTACCAAGAACTTTGGGATCAATACCCATCAATGTGGGCAGTCAACTCTACCTTACAACGTCTTTCAGCGGGCCCGGAAATCTATGGCCCAGCTTCTGAACCGGCTGCAAATAACCCGAGCGGCCCAGCGCAAATCCAGTTTCCAGACTTGAACATCTGCTTCTTTCGTGGACAAGTTGATAGAACTCGCCTGTTCCACGGACCGCGGATATCAAGAGATGGGAGTGATTCCAAACAAGCACCTCGCTAAGCCTCCTGGAATATGGTTCGCCCTTCCTCCACGTACAATATTTCAGTACTTGGTGTCTGCGCCGAGGCATAATATTCTTGATTACCAACACCCGAGTCGTGTCCTGCTCCCCAATCAGTAGCAATTATTCCACACCAAATTAGAAGTGACCTTTCAAACTCCGTTCACGTGGCTGCTCTACTTTTTCGAATTCTGATTCGGACTCACCCAAGGGACCTCTACCAATATCGCGCAACACTTGCGGGAGGACGTTTAATGCGGGACTCAATGTGATTACATTTGCAGTCTATGGTCAGCCAGCGAACATTTCGATGTCCCCAATCGCAATTCCCGAAGTTGGAACACATCCGGCGGCTGAATTGCTTCTGTAAGAATTCCCATACCTTCCAATTTGGCAAAACAACATGTAATCCTCCTAAAGAGCTATACCTAAAAAGGCCAGCGAGACGGCATATCGTACTTTGCATTTATGAAGAGGCTGGAATCGGACTCGCGCACTCGGCAGACTCCACGTGCTGCTGGAGAACCCGATATTGGGAACGCGTTGCATGGTCCATATGCTTGCCTGTGCACCCAGCCCTACACTGCGATGCGCATATTGCGGGGTCGGCAATTCATTCGTTGATGTTCCTTACTCGGGCGAAAGCTTACAGACAGAATGCCACATAAAATGGTCAAAATCCATGTTGCGCAATTTTGGGAGGGTTGCAGTTATTCCCGAAAACAGGCTTCAATTGTACGGGATTTGATACGCAGTAAAAACCTACTGCAACACTTCTGGGCATTGCACTGCGTTCGTCAACATGTTCACTTCCACCGTCCTTACAATTCTACTCGCATGTGCGACAAGCACCGCGGGGGACAACTCGAGGCCGCAGTCACCAATCGTACTAGAGAAGTCAGGCGGACTCCAAATCGGCGGCAAGATAATCACCTCGAACTTTTCCTTTCCCGGCCTTCCTCCTGGGCCAACTCAGGAACTGTCGTGCGATCATGGCTACATGGAATACTTCATCCCATGGCGACCACGCAAGACTAGCATCGTAATGTGGCACAGCTCCAGCACGCAGGTCTGGCAGAATCGCTGGGACGGTGGCGAGGGTTACAAAGACATGTACTTGAGGCGCAACTACCCGGTCTACCTTTGGGATGGGCCCCGTGTCGGTCGCGCAAACTGGGGCTGTGTACCGACTGTCTACGTTCCTAGCTATATGGACCATTCAAACTTCGTAGCTTGGAACTTTGGACCATCGTACAAGAACTGGTGGCCAGACGTGCAATTTCCCACCAAGGACGACGCGGCGTGGCATCAAGCGACGAGCGCGCGGTACGTGGAGTACGACACTGCTGAGAATGTGCAGCTGCACTCCGATGCAGCAGCCGTTGCAGCAGATTCCGGAAAAGTCGGGAAGGACATCGTGTACCTGACCAACTCGGCTGGCGGTCTTCGCGCAATGATGACAGCAACAAAGTCCAATACCACGAACATCAAAGGGATCGTGACATACGAATCCATTGGTTATGTGTTCCCAGACAACGTCAACGTCACTGCTGGGCGTGGCGGCTTCGGACCATTCGTTGTGCCACTCGAGGACTTCAAAAAGCTTGCAAGGCTTACTGCTGTTCAGTTTGTCTGGGGCGACCACAGAGCGGAGAACTTCACAAGCGTAATCGAGAGCAGGATGGTTGCGAAACTGATCAACCAGTATGGTGGTAACGCGCAGGTGTTGAAGTTGGGAGACGATTCAGGCTTGAAGGGTAGCACGCACATCCCGTTCGCAGATCTGGACAATGCGAAGGTGGCAGGACTTTTGGATGACTTTCTGGAGAGGCATGGCTTGGATGAATATGTCGATGACGATGGGGACGAGAACAAGGATGGCGATGTTGGGAATATGATGCATGGTCACTGAACGTACTGACTCTTATGTATGTAAGGGCCATTACTGAGCAGATAAGCATATAGCACAAAGTCAAATACAACACATATCAAGTCCATATCGTGCACATAGCTTTGCTGTTGTCAGAATCGTCCACATTGGACATGCGTGTCCCGTCTATATTTAGTACCACGTTTCTTACCCCGCCATCATCGCACGATGATTCACGTTGCCCCACGTATTAACCCAAATTTAAGACCAGCTCTCACCTCGACTTCGCTTCTGTTCTCAATATGTGCATCTATCTATACGTTGTTGGCGGTAAAATTTTCCAAGTAAAAGCAAAAACTCAACATAGCCCGTTTGGCTTAGTGGTACAGCGTCTCACTCGTATCTCTGCGACATGAGAAGATCCTCGGTTCGATTCCGAGAATGGGCAAGTTGGTTAACATTCATCTTTTTTTTTGCAACTTTATAGATGTTGAATGAGATGGAAAGTCGTTCACTGGGAGGCTCTCACTAGTTTTACATTTTTAATATTAAAGGATATTGGGTGTGAACGAGTCTCACTTAGCGTACGAGCAATTACGCACAACTTAGTTATAGTTATCTATCATAGCTTTTTTTTGGTATGGAAATTTGAACTGCGTCTTGAGATATTATAACTTGAAGATGTCCAGGTCTATCTTAGAGATTACCTGTGGTAGATACGTAGCCCGTAGCCCGCAGCTTAGCCGATCCCCACAACTCCATCTTCGCGTCATCATCACTCTCCAGACACTCTGCCGCTGAGTTTACTTGTTGCCTCCCTTAGCCCGCAGCCCGCGGAGTGATTCGACATATCGACTGACGTACACTTTATTGATTGGCTCAGACGAGTCATCGCGCGATAGTCAGAGCTACGCAACGGACCATCGCTCTAGCATGCCTCGGTGCGTCGCAGGACCCCAGCGTCCCATCACCATGGATGCGGGGTGCGCGGCGTAGCGCATCAACTTGTCGCGGGGCAAGACGACAATAAAGCTCGACGTTCGAACAAACACCCTGCACGGAAGCCCAAGCTCCAGTTTGAATCACAATCTGCCCATCTCTCAGCACACCCTAGACCCCATCAAAGGAATACTTCAAGGACTCGACATTATGGCAGACCAGAAAAGCAACGCGAGCCAGCGATTGACTCAGATCAAGGACTTCTTGACAATGAACAAGACTGCGACCACTATTCCTTGGGATCCGGATTCGACGAAGTTTCCGACCAGGAAAGAGCTTCCTGATATTCCTGGAGCACCACCTGAAGCTGCCTGGGTTTGGGGAGACAATGACTATGTCGGTGGATGCAACAGTCTTGTCTCTACAAACGCTAATGGCGCGATAGATTGGCCGACTGAACTTGCTCACCCCAACCCGTGTCGCTGCTGCTGCGAAAGAGATCAAGAGTGGAGAGATTGTGCCCGTCAAGTAAGCGCGAATGTGCCTGTAACGTCAAGCGCTGCTGATGTTTGTGAAGCCTGCCGCTCGATGTCCCCAACCAACCAGCTTTTGGTCGCGAGATCTTTAAACATGAGATCAAGGTACTGGCGGAGAACGTGGCTTACGATGACCTCTACACCATGAATACGCAGAGCGGTACTCAATGGGACGGCTTCCGACACGTAATGCACCCCTCGGTACTCCTTGTACTTTGCTGATACAATGCTCCTAGTTCGCACACATCCCCACAGGGACATTCTATAATGGCGTAAGTAGGTTTGCCTTCTAAGGCTGTCGTTACTCCTGCTCACTCTCACACTAGACAAAAGGCTCCGACATACTTGGTCCAGCGGCCAACCAAAAGTGTTCCATCCACCATTGGGCTGAACACGGCATCGCTGGTCGTGGCATTTTACTTGACTACCGAGGCTATGCGCACAAGAAAGGCATCAATTACGACCCCTACGACTACTACCCCATCTCTTGGGAGGAGCTATACCAGTGTGGGAAGGACCAAGGTGTCGACATTCGACCCGCGGCTCAGGGTGGTGACATCAAAATCGGCGACATGTTGTTCATTCGCAGCGGGTGGAAGGAAACTTATGACTCCAAGTCGCCAGAGGATCGAGCGAAAGCTGCTTTGAGGCATGGGAGCGGATTAGACGGCGAAGATGGCCAGAGATACGCGGGCTTAAGCCAGGAACAGAAGATACTGGACTGGCTGCATGACAGCTATTTCGCAACTGTTGCCGGCGATGCGCCCGCGTTCGAGGCGTGGCCGACTCACGAGAGTATGTTTCTCCTTCCATATGCTGAGTGCGTGCTGACTTTGTAAGACTATCACCTACACGAGTACATTCTTGCGCTTTGGGGAATGCCACTTGGCGAAATGCTCGATCTGGAGAAGCTGGCGAAGACTTGCAGGGAGAAGAATAGATGGTTTTTCTTCTTCTCTTCGTCGCCTGCGAATTGCCCAGGTATGTCTCGTCTTGAATCACGCAAAAGGATCATGCTGACTGAGCTCTTTCAGCTGGCGTCAGTTCCCATGTCAATGGACAAGCAGTGTTCTAGTTGCACCTTGGATGACAAAAACTAGCACGTACAAATGAAACAGAAATGCGATTTCACTTGATTCTAATTGGAATCTATCAGCAGAAATTTGGTGTCCATAAAATAATAATGAAGGAGCTGAGCATAATCCTACGACAGAAAAGATCTGAAATTCGTGAGTGCGATGGATGTGGCAAAGTTGGCTATTGTTCATATCATTGCTACAGGTGGCGATTCTGATAGCTTTATTATCATTGAAGAATAGCCTGACCAGCGTCGCTTTGCGAGCCTTCACATCCCATGTCGAGAGATAACCTAAAGGAAGGAGGATGGATTCGAGAGGAAGCAACGCTCGACTGAGTGTAGCTCAGAGTGGATGTCTACGACACAGAGACCAAGGAGGGAGATTTGATATCCAATCGTACAACTTCGCTCATCGAAACGATTTTCCCAATGATGAAACAGACCCTTGTCGATACTCCGTGTTGACGACCAACCATAACTGCAGGGTTCAGAGCTTGTTCTGCGCATCCGACAGGGATTGCGCGAACAACGTCATTTGGACATCAACTATATTGCCGCTGGATGTTGCATCAATTTCTCTGATCGTGAGTCGCGACAGGCTTTTACACTCTTTTTCTACAAACACACCCAGAGCGAAGGGGAAATGAGTGACCCGAACATTCTCGTCAGCAACGGAACGTGTTATACTGCAGCGGGCAAAGAGTTGGACAAGACCTTCATTCCATGCGGAAATGATGCGTTCGGCCACCAGACATGCTGCGGAGTCGGGGATAATTGCTTAGCCGATAACGCGTGTTTTGGGGTTTATGGTACTGGATATGGAAGCGAGTTGACGTACTTCGGCGGATGCACCGACCCTGACTATAAAGATGCGAGTTGTCCCGACAAAAAAGGCATAGGTAAGTTGCCAATACGAGAAATGCAGTGGAAGACGAATCACTGACAGTTGCAGATCAACCTTGGATTGCTCTCACTCTCTGCGACAACGGCGACGGTGTTTGGGGTGCCTGTTCACAAGAGGGGAATCCATCGACGCTACAAGCTGGCTCATACTGCAGTTGTACGGACACCGCGTCTTTTTCACCGACAGCGTTCAGTGACGCCAGGGTCCTTGCCTCCTTCGCCTCTCTACCCACAGCCACTGGCGGTAGCATTCAGTTCGCAGCAGGCCACGTACCCACAGCTCCTCCCGCGGAAGCTACCACCGGGGCACAAAGCAACACAGGTGCGGGGAGTAGCGGCGGCGCATCCGCAAGTGCAACGGGATCAATTGCATCTTCAGCGAGGAGTACTGGAGGAAATAGCGGCGCATCCCGGAGTGGAACAGGATCAACTGCCTCGTCACCGAATAGCACTGGAAGTGCTAGCGGCAGCGCATCAGCGGCCAACACCTCTAGTTCGAAGTCGACTTCAGGGAAGACAATAGGGATCGGCGTGGGTGTAGCAGTCGGCGTCCTGTTCCTGCTTGCCGTCATAGGGGCATTTTTCTTAATACGCCGACGACGACGCCGACGCGCTGCTGCCTCTGCTGCCAACATCGAAAAGGAAGGCGCCAGAGATGCGCCCCCTACCGACATTCTTGGACGAACTTCAGGGGTGACAGATGCAACAGTGTCGGAGGCAGATGGACGGCCCGTTTCAAAAGCGGACAAACCCGGCACTTCTGAGCTGTTCAGTAGCTCTGTTTTGGAAGCTGATGGCAAAGGCGTGTCGAAGGCGAACAAGCCTGGCACGTTTGAATTGGATAGCGATAATGTTGTGGAGGCCGATGGACGAACGGCGCAGCCGTGGAGTATGAGGAGTGAGCTTGATAGTAGACCAGTGGTGCCAGCGAATTTGGAATATCCCACAGCAGTAAGGGATGGCCATTTGAGTCCTGTTGCTGAGTTGCCTGGCACTCGTGTGCTGAAGAGACACTACGCCCCGGGCACAAGAACTCGAGATTAAGATAGAGTAAAGAAGTTAATAATAATAGAAACAGTATATGATTCAGTAAAGATTATACCTTAAAATCATGGTACATGTACAATAAAGGCATAGAGGAGAGGGGCTCCATACTGAGCATACAGTTGAGCGAGGTTGATTCAGCACCTGGAACAACAATGCGGGCCATGAGCTAAACATATCAATTAGGATGAACAAAAATAAAGACGTAGATACAAGGATTTGATTAAGAATACTAATTTGCGCTGCACAGTCGATTCTTGTCTGATTCTAACATGCTCATCCAATAGACCCTCTGACACTCTCTGGTGGTGAATAGTCCACTAATGGGAAAGCTCCCGGACACTGATAGTATGCCTTGTAGTCCTCGAGAACGTCAGCCAGCTCGACGCTCTCTTCTTCTACTTTTTCGTCAGGTATATTGTAGTGTTCTTCGCCAATATTGGATATGTTGGGTGTCGCTTCAGCAACGAATGGCGGGAAGGATTCGAAGCGCGTTGGCGAAGGCTCATAAATGACACTGTTCGGCTCACTGACGACACTTGCCGCTGGTACGGTGGTGTTGGCAGGAGGGAGGACATCGTCGACTGCGCCAACATTTTCGGAACCGAAGAGTGAATCGCCCCGTGTTCTACCAGTGGCGGTAGATGTATCTACCTGTTTCTCCTCCAGCAAAATCTGCTCGCCTTCTTGAGGACTGCCTGAGACAGGAGCCATTTCCGTGTTTATGTAGTCTTCATCTGGGTCGCTCGCCACAGCCTCCAGCAGCGAGATGCTGTTAAGTGGCAACGGCTTCCTATAAGCCCAATCATGCAACTTGACACCATTTTGAGCTGCCTCATCGACGGCAGCGAGGGAGCTCTGAGTCCCTCGACGTCGCTCTCGATCATATCGCTCTTTTCTTTCCCTCTGCTTGGCCCTTCTCTCAATATAACAAGTCCCTCTGAGGCC